ATTATTACGATGGAATCCTTCATTCTGTATCGTTGACCTATTGGCTTTAATAGAATAGGAATAGAAATCATTGTATAAGATGATTAAAAACACCTAGAGACAATTAAACAATATATATGCAATGTTATTCTCATTATAAATGTTGACAATGTAAGTGGCATATTTTCAAAAGCCTCATACTCACTTAAAACATCCAACTGATCAAAATATGCATGAGATTAGTTTTGAAAAGAAAAATATTCATCTTAACCTACTTCTGAAGTTTTTGAAGTCTTACTGTTTACAGTCTTTTGAAACGCGAAATTTCTTACTTGTTTTACTCTTTCAAATGTAGTATTAACATAAACTATGAAAGACAAATAAATAAGAGCCTCATTAAATAATATGAGAATTGTTTGTTTTTTGTTGAAAAAAAACCTCTGAATTATCTAGGCGGTCCTATATATGCATTCGGTTTGCATACGTTGTATCGTGATGTTTTAGAAAATCATGATTTGTCAAAAATTCGTTCGACCTATGTTCTTAGATGAAATCGTTTATATGTTAATAGAAATTCCTTTGCGAAAAATTCACATTGCTTTGCATCATATTCCTAAAGATTTCTTCTAATTTTCTTCTTTTTGCTCATTAGATCATACATATCGAAAGTAATCTTTTATTCACGCTTATTTTTGTAAGAAACTCTCATAACTGTTTCAATTCAGGATGGATTAAATATATTATAAGCTCTTCTAATGAAAAGAAAATTTTCTGCAAAATGATATTATTAAAATAAATTTGATCTTCTTCAAAGCATGAATAATATAGTATATCAATAATAATATTGCTAAAAAAAACTAAATTTTTTTCAATATCCTTGAGACTATAGAATGTAATCTGACGAAAACCAGATAAGATCCTATAATTCTATTTATTCTTCAGTAACTATGATAATATAAGAACCTTGATTAAAACTATTCACTTCTGAATTAAATAGATAAGTAAAACTTTTGTTTCTGTTTTCTTTTAATTCTCTATGTCTTAGAACAGCTCGAATATGATATCAAATATAAATAGAAAGAAAATTTTTTTTTGACTCAATTATCTATTTCTGTAAATTAGAAAAATTCATTCAGTAGATTGATTGTTTGGTTTTTTATTTTTTAGATGAAGTAATCAAGTTCTAACTTTTGAAAATAATCATGAATATTTCGAAGTTTATCAAAACTGCATAGAATAAATACAAACAAGTTAAATAAACACTAATGTACTTCGAAAGAAAAGAGAGAAAGAAATTTCTGTTCGAAATACCGAAATAATTAAATGAGATGAAAATGCTTTTCTAGTCATCAGTTGCTCATACTAGGTTCACTGAAGATGTTACACGTCATTTTTGAGTCTAGTATATACACAGACTTTTTTGGAATGTTACTAACATTAATAAGATATACTAGAAGGATAATCATTATGAAGAATACATATTTCATTTACTTTAGTTTTTTAAATTAAATATTTTGAATAACCAATAGACTTTTTCAAGATAATATTTTGATAAGATAGATATAATCTATTCTGGATGAAGTAATTTCTTCGAATATACATATATGGATATGTGGTAACATGATAAATAATAGGAAACGTTTTTTCTGATAATTATGTTGTTATATAGAAAGAAATAGGTGCCATCTTATATTAGAACATGTCAGATGGTTTCGTAACTTCACTTGATGAGGATTCCTTGTACTTGCTACGCTATACCAATGTCATCTCCTACTAATCCGATGTAGTGCACTCTACGTTTACAAATTTTAGGTTTATAGCGTCGAGTGTAAAACATTTATTTCAAGAGTATGGTGAACTTGGTCTCAATGTTCGACAACGTTATCTGTGTTCATATGTTACATTACGTAAATCAAAAATATGATTGTCATCAGAGAAAAATATTTATAATTTAAACTACACAAAAAGAGAAGTTTATGAAAGATCAGTACAGATATATTTCTAAATTAAAATTATTCTTCCTTAAAAACTTTCTATAATACACAATTGAATTTTTATATCATCTTCATAATCATAAATTCTATTTTTTACTATTGATTCGGCTTATATAAATGGTAAAAACTGTACAGTATTAATTGATACAAATGTAAGGTATCCAATTGATTCGTCTATTAATTTTTATCAAAATTCTCATTGATAAACAAAAATATTAGTAGAAAAGTAAAGGGAAAAAATTCTAAGTAAAAAGATTGCTTTCGATCAAAAGCAATAAATGATTCATTCGATTCATTCTCAAAAAAAAATTTACATGGATAACTTTCAACAGTATTTATCAGGTCATAATTATATAAAATTACAAGTTTTTAAATTTCTAATCGAAAATGTATCTTTTCCTGTAAACAAACTTTCTTAATTATTCTTTTCTAACAGTAAAAAGGTCAAACATTGTTCCTTTTCCAAAGTAAAAAGCAAAGTAGCTAGGATCTTTTATTCAAACTGATTACGACAATTGATTTAACAGTCAATTTACCAATTTGATGAAATGGATAAAACATCTATTATAATCTTCTTTTATTTTTGTTACTAATAAATTGCCTATACTCATGTTGAAGAAAACAGTACAGTGTCAGACTCAACAAGATATATAAAGAGATTAATATTATAAAAACATCCACTGAAATACTGACAAAAAATTCGTCTATTTATGGATTTTACCAAAAGACTCGTTGTTTAACTTTACAAAAAATCTTTTATTAAAAGTCTTTTTATTAGTAGAAATTTCTCATAAAAATTATAAGGACGATATCATTTACTCGAAAGAGATTTGCAATTTTCTTTAAATCTCTTCTATGTCTCATAGATTCACTTATACTTTTAAGCATAACAAAAAAACCATGTATATATGTCTAATGAGAAAAAAAATGTGATTCATTAATTTATTTATTATTACTAATGAAATTTCTTTTATAGACTCAAATAATTAATCTATACATAATTTTATTTATGAAAATTCTGAGATATTTTTCAATGAACTCACAATAAAACTCTATATCTCACAAATACTCGATAAAAATATCAATTATCTTTAGAAAATCATAGAAAACGAATATTCGTCAGAATATGAATTTATCCTTAACGAGAAAATATTCCAATAAGTTATTCAGCATGTTTTCTTTTTTTTTTTAGTGTAACGCCTCACTCTACGCCTATAATCGAAATACAGAATACGCCAACAACTGTATGATGGGAGATCTGAATAAAAACAAAATATATAATTTCTCAAGCAACTATAGTTTAATCATTTTTTAATAAAAAACCAACATCGAATTTTTTATAGAAACTTAAATATCTACACTGAAAACAAAATGAAATTGTTGTATCTGTCGAATAATTTTTATACTAGAGAAATATAATGAGAAATACATGAAGACATTCATTAGATGCTCTACTGCTACCATTATTGTCTCTCTTAGAAAATACTTCATCTCATTCTAATTAAATGACATTACTTCATAGAGAGTACTTTGTCAGGAAACTAAAAACAGTTACCTCTTTCGTTTCTACAATGTCAAAATACTCATTAATAAATTAATTAAGAAAGTGGAACATGTAAAGGCAATAACGTTCATTAAATCTAAACGAAAAATGCCTCTTTATACTAATACTTAGTCTGATATACAGTTTCGTATAAAAATCTAGAAATAATATTGCTTTTACATTACAGTTGTTTGTTCAAAATGTTTATAATGATGAATTTTGTTTTCATCGATAAACCTTGAAAATTTAAAGAGTAGAAATATGATATACTCTATCATCAGGAGACTATTTTGAGATGAATTCATAGCTGCTTATATATTCATTACTATATCGATGAATATGACAATATAAGTGAATACACATCATTCATAATTTGTTATGTATAAGTTGATACATTCTGGACGAAAATTACGTAAATCCTGAGAAGCACTATATTCCAATGAAAATAAAATTCAGTAACGATGAAAATCACTTGAAATGAAAGAAATTCATCAATCTTAAATGTGTAGAAATTTCAATCTTTGCACAACTAACATTTCTTTAAAGAAAAGTCGAAAAACTATACGTGAAAAAAGTTCACGCAAAAATTTCTCAGAAATTTCTCAAATACATATATATATATATATATATTGAAGATAATGAAGACGTCCAATAAAAAATATATTGTTCAGTAGAGAGACAAACGCTATCTTATTCTATATAATTTAGACATGTATATATTTCAGGCATTCTTAAAATAAAGATCATATTTTGTAAAAACAAAACACACCTATTTTTTAAGTTACTCAAGTTGATGAATTCTCTTGTCTTGTATTCTTATTTGAACACGAGCAATGTGAAGGAGAAAGACAACATCCTATATATATGTAACATGGGTGACTCGACAGTTGAGCTCCAGACAGTTGAGCCCCGACAATTGAGCCCCCAACAGTTGAGCCTCCCGACAGTTTAGCTCCCGACAGTTGAGCCTTCATAGATTAATTAAGAAATACCTAAACAATATCAGATCGTTTAGTTCAATACGAAAAAAAGCATGTAAACATGCGACATCTTATGGTATTAATGTTGATGATTCGATAGTATTATCTCCATGGCTAAGACCATCTTGTAGAACGAACGAATGTTCATATTAATTATATTTCATCTGTTTATCTAATTTTCATTACTATTCGTCTGATTGTATTATTACTGTACAATGTCAATTGTAAAATCTTCGAAAAACAAGGATTAACTTCTGCTCGATGGTTTTCGTTATCGTCGTGCCAATAAATCTCAATCCATTTGGCGTTGTTGTAAAAATAATTGTGCTGGTCGTGTGAGTTTTAATGGTACACAATACGTTAAAGTAACAGATCATGTTCATGCACCAAATCCAGAAGAAACAATTTCAATGAAATTCAAATCAATAATTATGGATAGTGCAACAATATCACATGATCCTCCTCGACGAATAATCAGCGAAGCATTATTAACTGTTAGTAAAGATGATGGAACAGCTGTTCCAACTTATACATTATCCCAACGAACTATTGAACGAAGAAGAAAAAAAAATACCATTACCAACACCAACATCTTTCAGTAATATATGTATTCCTGATGAACTTAAAATAACAAATGGTGGTAGTCGTTTTTTGTTATATGATAATCAACATACTGAAAATAGAATAATTATATTATCATCCGATGATGATCTTGATCGTTTATCAAATTTTGATCATTGGCATAATGATGGAACATTTAAGGTGCGTTTGATATATATTCTTTGTCCTTAAAAAATAATCTTTTTATGCCTAATTTTTTGTAGATTGCACCAATTATTTGAACAGTTATACACTATACATGGCTTTATTTGTGGTCGGTCGTTATCATCTGATTATTGTATTATTTCTGGAAAATCTGAACATTTATATGGTGAAGTATTTGATGTCATCTTGCAACATGTATCTGGTCGTCCAAAATCAATTACTATTGATTTCGAAAAAGCAGTTACAAATGTAATCAAACATAAATTACCAACAACAACAGTTAGTGGTTGTTTTTTTTCATTTTAAACAATGTTTGTGGAAGAAGGTACAGGTAAGTATTGATTACTAGATCATTGATCTTATTATCTTAAATAATCCTAATGGTATTTGGTTTTTCTCTTTTAGAATCTTGGTTTACAACAATTATTTAATGATAATTCTGAAGTTAGACGATATTTAAAAACTTTTGGTTGCTTGTCGTTGATTCCTGAACCATCTGTAACAGCTGAATTTGAAAAAATTCAAGCTGATTCTCCAGATTCAATAAATGGCATAAAATTTTTTTATCATTGAAATAACGTTATAATTTACTCTTATATATATTATAGATTTTGTCGACTATTTCGAAGATAATTTTATCGGTCATTCGGTTGGTAATAATCGACGTCGTGCTCCTCGTTTTTCAATTAGTATGTGGAATTGTTTCTCACGCTTGAATCAACAACTACCACGAACAAATAATTCATCTGAAGGTTGGCATCGAGCTATAAAAGTACGGTTAATTTCTTATATATTTTCCTGTATACTACAGGCCATACGTTTCTATTTTAGAATTCAGCACGAAAACATCCATCAATATACGACTCGATCAAAGATTTACAAGTGGAGCAGCACGCGAACTTAATTACAGGTGAACAATTGCAAGCTGGACTTGTAAAATTAAGAAAACGTGTTAAATATGAACTTCTTGATGAACAATTACAACGATTTACTTCGACTTTTCATGTAACAACAAGAGACATGTATTTTAAAAGAGCAAGAGCTCTTTTCAATTTTTGATATTAATGTTGACTTATTCAAATAAAATTATTTTCTTCTATGTTTTCAAATTTTTTAATTGGGCTCATCTATCGGGGGGAGCTCAACTGTCGGGAGCTCAAGTGTCGGTACGCTCAACTGTCGGGAGCTCAAGTGTCGGTACGCTCAACTGTCGGGAGGCTCAACTGTCGGGAGCTCAAGTGTCGGTACGCTCAACTGTCGGGAGCTCAACTGTCAGTGTACCATGTAACATGAAAATTTTTTTTCGTCGACGATGACATGATATAGATGTATGTCAGACGAGAAAAAAAATCATCAAATCAATTAAAACAGAAGTGGAATGATTGATAAAAAATCAATCAAAATTTTGAACATCGGTCAATTAATCTCAGGGTATATAAAAACATGGATACATTATTATGAAATCATACACTCGAGTTGTACCATTATAATGCATTACAATGTATTGATACACCCTGAATTATATTATGATGATTATTACTATTATATTATTCACAATGATAATGATATTATTAAATTCTATATGAGGTAAATAATAAATTCATTATATCTTTAATAATACTTTTTTTTCTTTTTTTAGATGAGTTTCGATACTATACAATATTGAAAGGTAGGAAAAAAATTTTTTTTACATATTCAGTTGAGTTGAGTTGAGATAAGTTATTTTGAGAAAAAATAAATACTGTCAGTTATTTATGAGTATGAGCATGAGTATGAGTTTATTTGAGATGAGTCGAGTTGAGTTATCAATGTGGATCAGATAGCTACGTTGTCTGATTCAATAGGTAGAGGAACTTTGTCATAGCGAAGCAGTGTAGTACTAGGGAAGGCCTCTAGGTGTCGTTGGTCCCTACCGTTTATACGGCATACCTTCGGCCATTGCCCTACCAGTCCGGCGTGGTCCGCCTGTGGTACCTATGACATTGACAAGGGATCTCTTCCTTGTCGCGTGCGCGCGTAAGCCAAAATTAGCAGAGCACAGCGAAACGATTCGCAATGTGAATAAATTTATTGAGCAGGCGAAAAGAAAAAATTCCAGTTACATTTTCTTTTTAACGCAATCAACGTTATCTTTCGTTACTTTAATTAGCGGATGTGTTGACGGAAGTGATTTTTCACGGATAGCAAGTGTCGTTTCTAAGAATGAGAGTGCTTTTGAGTAGTCACCCTTGCCTGAATATGCCATACCAATGTTGCTGTAGGAAGTAGCCAATGAGGGATGCTTCTGAGGCAGAGCTTTTTCGTAGATTTTATGTGATTTTTCATAAAATTCAAGTGCTTTCGAGTAGTCACCCATGTTGTTATACACAAGACCGATGCAAGTGTAGGAAGTAGCCAAATGAGGATGATTCGGAGACAGAGCTTTTTCGTAGATTTTATGTGATTTTTCGTAAAATTCAAGCGCTTTCGAGTAGTCACCCATGTCATTATACACTTGACCGATGTTGTTGTAGGAAGTAGCCAATGAGAGATGATTCGGAGGCAGAGTTTTTTCTCTTATTTCAAGTGATTTTTCGTAAAATTCAAGTGCTTTCGAGTAGTCACCCATGTTGTTATACACTTGACCGATGTTATTGTAGGATTGAGCCGAATCAGGATGATTCGGAGGCAGAGCTTTTTCTCTTATTTCAAGTGATGTTTCGTAAAATTCAAGTGCTTTCGAGTAGTCACCCATGTCATTATACACTTCACCGATGTTGTTGTAGGAAGTAGCCAATGAGGGATGATTCAGAAGCAGAGCTTTTTCTCTTATTTCAAGTGATTTTTCGTAAAATTCAAGTGCTTTCGAGTAGTCCCCCATGTTGTTATATACTCCACCGATGTTGTTGTAGGAAATAGCTAATGAGGGATGATTCGGAGGCAGAGTTTTCTCTTTTATTTCAAGTGATTTTTCGTAAAATTCAAGTGCTTTCGAGTAGTCACCCATGTAGTAATACACAAGACCGATGTTGTTGTAGGATTGAGCGAAATCGGAATGATTCGGAGGCAGAGCTTTTTCTCTTATTTCAAGTGATTTTTCGTAAAATTCAAGTGCTTTCAAGTAGTCACCCATGTCATTATACACTTGACCGATGTTGTTGTAGGAAGTAGCCAATGAGGGATGATTCGGAGGCAGAGTTTTTTCTCTTATTTCAAGTGATTTTTCGTAAAATTCAAGTGTTTTCGAGTAGTCACCCATGTCATTATACACTTGACCGATGTTGTTGTAGGAAGTAGCCAACGAGGGATGATTCGGAGGCAGAGCTTTTTCGTAGATTTCATGTGCTTTTTCGCAAAATTCAAGTGCTTTCGAGTAGTTACCCATGTTGTTATACACTTGACCGATGTTATTGTAGGATTGAGCCGAATCAGGATGATTCGGAGGCAGAGCTTTTTCTCTTATTTCAAGTGATGTTTCGTAAAATTCAAGTGCTTTCAAGTAGTCACCCATATTGTTATACACTTCACCGATGTTGTTGTAGGAAGTAGCCAATGAGGGATGATTCGGAGGCAGAGCTTTTTCTCTTATTTCAAGTGATTTTTCGTAAAATTCAAGTGTTTTCGAGTAGTCACCCATATTGTTATACGCTTGACCGATGTTGTTGTAGGAAGTAGCCAATGAGGGATGATTCGGAGGGAGAGCTTTTTCGTAGATTTCAAGTGATTTTTCGTAAAATTCAAGTGCTTTCGAGTAGTCACCCATGTAGTAATACACAAGACCGATGTTGTTGTAGGATTGAGCGAAATCGGGATGATTCGGAGGGAGAGCTTTTTCGTAGGTTTTATGTGCTTTTTCGTAAAATTCAAGTGCTTTCGAATAGTCACCCATGTTGTTATACACTTGACCGATGTTGTTGTAGGAAGTAGCCAAATTGGGATGATTCGAAGGCAGAGCTTTTTCTTTGCTTTTATGTGCTTTGTCGCAAAATTCAAGTGCTTTCGAGTAGTCACCCATGTCATTATACACACCACCGATGTTGTTGTAGGAAGTAGCCAACAAGGGATGAATCGGAGGCAGAGCTTTTTCGTAGATTTTATGTGCTTTTTCGTGAAATTCAAGTGCTTTCGAGTAGTCACCCATGTCATTATACACAAGACCGATGTTGTTGTAGGAAGTAGCCAAGGAGGGATGATTCGGAGGCAGAGCTTTTTGGTAAATTTCGAGATGTTTTTCGTAAAATTCAAGTGCTTTCGAGTAGTCACCCATGTAGTAATACACAAGACCGATGTTGTTATAGGAAGTAGCCAATGAGGTATGATTCGGAGACAGAGGTTTTTCTCTTATTTCAAGTGATTTGTCGTAAAATTCAAGTGCTTTCGAGTAGTCACCGATGTCGTTATACACTCCAAGGATGTTGCGATATGTAGGAACCAATGAAGGATGATCTTCCGGAAGAGTTTTTCGTTTAATTTTGAGACACATTTCATAAAATGAAGCTGCTTCTGTATATTGTCCTTTGTCAGTTTTCATCATTCCAAGCATATGATAGATATGTGCTTTATCACTGTCGTTAGAAGCCTGTTCTAGTAGTGCCATGTACAATTCTTCAGCCTTGTCAAATTGACTTATTTTGAGCAGCAATCTACCCATTCGATACCATCCAGTGCTGCCCGATGTTTCTTGTCGTATATGGTCGGTTAATTTGCGAAGTTGTTGATCGTCATCAGATGTAAGTTTAAGGTCCACTTGATAAAGTGGACGATTATCGTCAAGTTTTCGAATTTCATCAATGCGAAAAACGGTGTGCATAGAGAAAAGGATTTCGTTTTCTTCAGCAAAATAACTCAGTCCCCAGATAGAGGCAAATGGACTGGATAAGATGGTCGGATCTATTGACATTTGAAAAAGGGTACCCACCATACTGGGTTTTCCTATGGCACCTCTGGCAAAACCGAGAGAGACAGCTCGATCTGTAGTGGTGGATAAAAAATTATTGAAGGAAATAAGTCCATCTTTGCTCTTCTTGAGTTTGTCGAAGTCGACTGTGGATAATCCTTGTCCCCGAAAAACTTCAAAGGTCTTTCCATGATAAAGACTGATCTGTTGTTTATGTAAACTATCGATTTGTCGATGCAAATCAGCAAGAAAAAAACCCATTTTTATAATCGTCTCACCATCCAGCGTTCGAAGAGACCGATTGAGCATCTCGTAAAGGAAACACTCGCGAGTGTACCACCAAATTGCTGATTGATGACTATATTGACGTTCAAACTCAGTGATATCCTTTTCTTTTGCTGTGTTATTGCTGTATTCGTTTCGCCAAAATTCAATAAAATCCTTCTTGGCTTGTTCACTATGTTCCATATCGAGGAGAATTTCCTTGAATATTTGGGAGTACATGAACGAGGGTTCAAGCTGATTGAGATCTTTGCTGGAATCTTCTTCATTAACACTGATAAAGCTTACAGATATGTCATCTTTATTGCATTGCTTGGCAGCCATTTGCAATGCTTCACACATGAGCGGCATTTCTGTGTATATACTCTTAACTTTGTTCCAATGACTATTCCAATCTTCTTGTGTAGTTTTGCTACTGCAATTGACATAAATGGTATCGAGTTGAGGAATATCATGGATAAAGGGTACTATTAGTTGACCCATAGTATCTGATACAATGAGAAATGCCTTTTGATTATCGACTTCAGTGAGAAAGTCAACACATTCATCACGTTGTGTAAAGATATAGACTTCATTGGCTATGCTTTGCAGTTGTTGGAGTGTATTTTGGTAATATTTATTTGCTGGATCAATGTTTTCATTGAGCCAGAGGATCAAATAATTTTGAGTGATGCGCCGCGTTGATCGCATGGTAAGCGATGGATCTGTTGTGTTTGCATTGGTATCCATTGTTGATTTGGAAATATTTTGTTTTGATTTTTGTTCATTCATATTCATTGAGAATTGTCATTTGTTGGTGCATAGAGAATGGTGGATAGTTGTTTGTCGTTTAAACAGAGATCATTTCTTCTATTTATATAGTAGGTGCCGTCTGTTTTTTCTACGACATTAAATGTGGATGTTTGTTTGTCGTGAACAGTCAACGATAAACGTCATTGAGTTTTAAGAGATAACATAGTTGTCGACAAAGAGAACGAAAGAAAAAAATCGAACAACGTCATTGGTTGCATCACTATTCTTTCCAACTTTCGTTTGACTTTCATCTTTACGATAACTCAAGTCACATTACGTTGGATATCTTGCCTCATACATCGTTTCTTATCAGAGTGACTATTTTCTGTTTTTTTCTGATGGGAACAAAAAAAGAAACAAAGATATCATTAGTTCGATTGCTTTCATTCAGCTCTTGATGAATATTCTGATTGTGTGAATGAAGAAGCGAGAAAAATAAATAAAATTTTGGGTGAAGTAACAATCGAAAGACATTTTTACTTGCCAAACTGGTTGCTGTTAGTTAACAAGTGGTTCAAATAAAGAAAGCTATACATTCAGAGTAAATCAAAAGTCACTTTACTGAGAAGAAAAGCTTGAGTATCTCTGACATAATTTGACCAAATGGACTGATTTTTACACTACTAATAAGGGAGTACTCATAATTGACATTCCTACGAAAAATGTTAGAAAACACTGCTTTAAAATATTACTATTAATATGAATATAAATCTGAAGTCTTTGATGAGTTATGAGAAAATAGTCTGATCCATATGATCAAAAATAATGAACAAGAGATATTTCCAATCAATGCTTCAATCAATTCTTACTTAGTGTTTTCTGAAACTTCTAATTATTAATAACTAGATATATGCAGTGAATAATTTATAAAAAGTTATTTATTTTTTCATATTCATCAAAGTATCGTGCAGATACTCAAGCGTTTCTTCTCGATAAAATGACTTTTGACCCACTCTCTATTGTGCTTGATCATGAGAGATATGCATCACACTTGATTGTGGATGTCGGTGAAGTTCTCACTGTAAATACATCTTCAGTTTTGCCATAGTTCGAAGAGTGCATTGCTGAGTTATACGTTGTGAACTGAAAGTTTTGAAACAAAGTCTTCCTTTCTGTTTTCTGGACCGATGAAAAGGATCAGTCGAAATTTTATAGAGTTGACTAAGAATCAGAATTTTGTAAGTGAATCTGTGAAAAGATTAATAATAAATGTTCGATGATTTTCAATGCATTAAAATGTTTTCAGGATAGAAGAGAAAAGTTAGTCTAGATTTTCTGAAGAAAAAAAGATTGTGAAGATTTCTGAACAAAATAATATCTTGATGGAAAGTTTTCTGGAAGGTAACTATTAATAATGACAGTTTTGGTAGGAGCGATCATGACATATTCATAATTTCTTTATTTAAAGATGTACAAAATGAGTTTAGCCATGTATGAAAGACTGCTATGAGCTTTTCAATTGTTAAATCCATTTGAAGAGAACCCTCTCGTTCTTTATTCTATTCAAAATTTTGAATTAACAAAATCGATATAGTTTGTTAGAATGATGCATACAAACACATCATATTTAGAAAGACAAATATCAATGAATTGTAACTTTTTGATCCGATTAGCGCGAAAAATGATAGTAGGATAAAATAATTTCTGAGTAGTGTGTTTTATGATATTCTATGTTTGTCGTAAACAATAAAAGTTTCCAGACTTATAGAAAAGACTCGAGCCATTTTACCAATATGACAAGGATAATAAGTGGTCAATAAAATCATATTACTCACAGATTAGATCGCCTAATTCTAAAGAGTTTAATTTTATTTGAAAAAAATTCTTTTGAGTTGATTCAGGTCGAATTATCTGTGAAAATAGCCTAACTCAATATTTTGTATCATAGCGTAAATCTCTCATGCAGTAGCGAAAATTTTTACCAGTCAAAAAAAGTTTATTATGTTATATTTGCTAGAAAAATATTGAGCTAAATCAAAAAAAAAACTCACTGAAGAGTTATAGAACAGGCAATGTTCAAAACATCACACTAAAAAGAGAACAGAATCGTCTTTTTTGCAGAGAGTCCTGTTGTTTTTCTCTGAAACGAAACTAATAAGAGAAAATGTTTTCTCATCAGTATGTTACTAGAAGAATCTTCCTACTTTTCATTTAGTCAGCATACCACCAGGTGTATGACTGGCAGATCTAGACTCGGTTTTGAGGCACTCTACACAAAAACATGCACGTATCTGTCAAATAATGTTGTCATTAGATGAAGAAATAAAATTTCAATCAGTTTTATTTTTGCTAGAACATCGAATGCTTTGTTTTTTTTTGTAATAAGCCTCTCATAACTCAAGGACAGTTGTGAGCTAATAGGCAACTGAAACTGGATGTGACAGTGGGGCACGCAAAAAGAAATAAAATTTTTTAAAAATAATGATTCAAATCATTTGATCAAAATAAAAGATTATTTTCTAGCTTTTGATTAATTTCAACAAAAATTTAGAGTAATATTTAGTTGAAAAATCATTGATTTTTGTTTAAATTCTAAACATTATATAGCAAAAAGGTCAAGAAGTAGAGGAAACTTTTTTTAATGATTTGAATTGTTTTTGTGAAAAAGTTCGCTTAGATCGATTGAAATCACATTTGTCATTTAATGAAGAAAATCATCAACGAGTTTCGAACATAATATAGAATCATCAAATGAATATTTCAGTGAATACATCTGAAATTTCTTTAGAAAAAGTATTAAAAATAAATTGATGTCAATCTTTTGTTGTGAAAATTAAAAATTGTTCATTCATTGATCAATATTTAACTAAATAAATTGAACCAAAACATAATATTATGGTTCAACACGTACGTAATCTTTCATTATTTGAAACATAATAAATTAGAAAAAAAGCAACTTTTCTTTCTA